ATAATATTAAATCTGATCACCTCACCGACTTCGGTCGCCTTGTAGGGACAGACTATTGCCATCGATTCATCGGTAGCCCTACTAATCAGGGCATAACCATGTTAAATTCTGCAGGTGGTAAATTACTCTCAGGCTCAGTATCAAGCCTGAGGAGACCTATGGCTGCAGATAAACAATACCAATAGAAATCTAAATTTGTCAGCTGATTATATTTCTCCAGTAGCAATACTAAGGAGATTACAACTGACTATAGTAACAGAGGTTGATGTTAAAATCATCATTTAAAGCTGAAGATGAGTTCATGAGGCTTCAGTGGCAAATCAGTGAACAGTAGCCTAAACAGCTACAAGTCACTGCGACCAATGTCACTGAACCCACTGCAGTCTCAGAACCATACTTTACTTTAATGATGGGCTATTCAATCCTCTGAATCAATTAACTAAATTAAACCCTAATAAATCTGACGACTGATTTGATACATTTATTATTTAATCAAGATGAATTCCATGGGCCTCAGTGTTTATATATCAGTGACCAGTTACCTGAACAAACTTCAAGTTATATCTAATGTCACTGATCTCACTGCTGTCCCTGAATCATACTTGACTGTAGTACTTGATCACATCCAGTCTTCTGGGTTAAATAATATGTAATTAGGCTTGAATTTTAGCCTTTCAAGAGTTAACAGGAAAATTAAATCGCATTAGATTTCTAATCCCTGTAACTTGAGTACGGGACATCTGTCCTGTACGAACAGATGCACAAATGTGTGATTACTAACTATTAACATCAAATAAATCTAATAATCTGAAGGAGGAGTATCGGTGTTCGTCTGTTCTAAATAGGACTTCGACCCATGAGCAGCCCCCCGGGGAATTATGTCAGAAAATCCGACACTATTTAATAATATCATACAGGCAGATAATATTGCTGCATTGTATAAACAAATTAACCCATAGAAAATGTAACTTGTAGTGGAACTTTCCGTCTATAGAAAACGGGATATCATTGCCACATACTATAATAAATTCACCACCTATTATAGTGGGAATTATTCTTAAATACATTAGTCTTTGGACTTTTACCATCATAAAACATCTCATATAAATTAACTTAATTATCAATATTAAAATAGAATAAATGTGACCCTTCTATCACTTACTGTCATCTGGACAATGTAGGCCAGTAGCATCAGTGAGAGGGAGTGGTCAGCCATTGTTATTGTTTAAGACCAGCGAGGCACACGGGAGCAAATTCGGCTCCTGTTAATTTCTCTTGGACGAAGTGTTATGGAAACCAAAGGTGTACCATTATCAACACGCTGTCAACTAATACAAGCTAAGTGTTCTGCCGAAACCCATTTATCCAATCATTTTTGGCCATTAATGACCGTAGATAGGGTGAGCCAGTTAGAATACGAAATCGCCTCATACTAAAGGTAATTATGCCTTGGTTTTTATGGTTCAATGTACAGTGTTTTCTCTGATATAGCTGTCATATATTAGGATTCTGGCTTCATAGCTAGACCCCTTTTGACAGGTCAAGACGAGGAAGCATGGTTTGTGTATCAGTTACCAGGGTGATGGAAGCTACCTCACACGAGAAAAATTTGGTGTCTACATCCTAGTTATACCTGGTGGACTAAGGCCTGCTGTACAATAAGATAAGGAACCTCTTCAATGTTTAACAATATATGTAGTTTAATACTGTAGTTTGATTGGCTGCATATATATAAATTCAATATAACCCCCCCCCCCTAATGTGTAGTGGATCGATTTGTGAGATTATTGCAGAAATACAGTCCACTTAACATCATACCAATTGCTATTGAAGTATACAAATTAACGTAAATATAAATTCTATATAAATTCATATAAATTAAATAAATATAAATCTCACAGGTCGGTTCCCACATGTATGAAGGACGCACTAAAAAAACGCAAAAATTGGTGTGTACAAAGGACGGAGGAAAGTACAGGAAAAGAGAGTGTGTACTGTGAAGTAGTTGAAATGATAGTACAAATTCTGAATTCATTGTTGTATGGTAGGAAAGGAAGTGTTCCACCATTCTAGCATATTTTTGTTCAATATCTTAGAAATTGTAGGACAAGTTGAGACAGGTCTTTAACCAAAGATTTTCAACACAGTATGTTGGATTATTATTCTTTTTTATTCTGAACATAAAGAAGTAATTGTGAAACGTGAAATTGTTCCTTATTCCAATGAATTTTTTCTCCTGTTTATTTGCCGTAGAATAAAGGCAACTAAGAATGTAGTCGAGCATCCATTCCATATTGGTATTAAATTCACTAAAACATTGTCCAGGAGTTGTCTCTCTAAAACAATATATATATTAAGTGTACTGAATAATGTAAAAGTGTCCTAGACGAAGATATGTTAACTACACGGTTATAAGGTACTGTGATGACTTTAATATCTCTTGACTGCCAACATTAAATATTTATAAAGACTTTGTCAAAGGACAATGTGAATGATCACAACCTTTTACAGTCATAAGACCATCCTAGTGATGAACTTCAGTATAGCAGATGAGGCATGAAGCTTTACGAGTTTCGTGATTGATTAATAAAAGACGGGATTTCACCATTTAATTGTTCTGACAAAAGGAGAATTCGTCACCAAATATCAAGCGGTAGATGGAAACAGGGTAAGGATGCCGCAACAACCTTATGTAAAGTGTATTCTTTGTGACTGCTTAAAGTAGAGTACCTGAGGGCGAGGTGCGTGGTGTTACTGCTGGAGGTGAGGTCGAGAATTAGTCCCCGGCAGGTGGTTCTCGAGTCTCCCCACAGTCCCTGCAGGAGGTTGTCCCCTCTGAGCTGATCCTGCGGTGTCTGGTGCTGACGTACGAGGTCCACATTTGACCGTTGTTGTGATACATGCTGCCAGGAGGGTGATTGGGGAGTGGCTGCACTAGAGTCTTGCAACGGGTTGTACATTGGTGGTTGAGGCTCGTGTATGAAGAACGATTCGACGGCCACGATTACCCTGGTCCCAGCGACCCTAGTGAGGTGCCTCAAGTTTAACACTTTGTTGCCCTAATTAATTTCTCGTTAATTCTGAAGGGAAAGTATATACAAAGCTAAGTAAGAGAGTCGTGTGCTTTCTTTTCATGGATCCTATGAAAAGAAAGCTAATCAGCAACTTAAGTTTTATAATGACAGCCAAGCTTAAAAATCTACGAAAATTACCTAAATAACTAATATTTCATTTACAGTGTGCACATATATGTAATATGTTATTATTTCACCTATTTATAGAAATGCAGACAAAAATAATGAATCAGTCACTGTAGAGCATTCATATCACAGAGGCAAATGACACCGAAAGTTTCTATGAATAAACATAATGGCCAGGTACTCAGACCGTGAGGAGGCACTGAGACCGGGAGGAGGCACTCAGATCGCGAGGAGGGCCATATATCGTCGCATTTGATTATTGGAAAGTCCGCATACCATAATATATTCATGTTACTGTAAGGCTGGAACAGAACAGGCAACTGTAACACATGCACAAATCTTCATCCCTTGCGTGGTCAAGGTACACCTCGGCCAAGAAATAAAGTCAACAACGGAAAGAGAACACACAAGAGGTAACAAATATCGGGATACAATGGGATCACAAATACAAATACTTTGCGACCTTCCTGAAGTGGCCAGAAGATAGATGACTGAACCTTGTGGATGCTGGCCGTTATAGTGGAGGTTCAGACCAGTTGTCTAATGTGAAAGGGAGCTGTGGTTGGAACCAACTAGGAGTAATATATCTGCAAAAGCATGATTAGTGTAATAAAGTAAGGGCGAAGAGGGAGAACGGCCTATTGACATAGCTCAGGTGCATTGGGGGGAGTTGTATAAAACCCTGGTTTGTGGCTCGGAGAGGCTGCAGGATCCAATAAGTTCAGTAGAACTTCGGTTTCAACTTCTTTTTTTTTCATGTCGTAGCTCAGTCGATTAAGGCAGCGTCTGGGATGCTCTCGGACGCAGGTTCGAATCCTTGTCACGGCCCTTGTGGATTTGTTCATGATTAGTAAATATTACTTTACACGCAAAAGCTATAATGGCACATTATATAGGATCATGTTAACTTCTGCTACCTCAGGGCACTGGTATAATTTTTTGGGCAAAGAAAACAACAATAGAATAATAATGCCACCGCCAATTCATGCTCTTCGAACTTGAAAGTTCTTGAATATTTGGATTTTTCGTGTATGCATAAATGGGATAAATTTCCCTTCAGATACATGTCCCCAGAACACTGTTGCCGGTCTCATTAATCCACCGGTATATAATCCACCAGAAATAACACCACATAAGACCAGAAGACATGGCAGGATGTGCAGAATACCCCCGTTGAAAAGCAGAGGTGCAACAGGTACTCTGAGAGAGAACTCTATCAACATCAGAGGCCCGAGACTGTTCAACACGCTTCCACTACACATAAGGGGCATAACTGGCAAACCCCTCACAGTGTTCAAGAGAGAACTGGATAAGCACCTCCAAAGGATACCTGATCAACCAGGCTGTGACTCATACGTCAGGCTGCGAGCAGCCGCGTCTAACAGCCTGGTTGATCAGTCCAGCAACCAGGAGGCCTGGTCGACGACCGGGCCGCGGGGACGCTGAGCCCCGGAAGCACCTCAAGGTAAGGTAGGTCAACCTCTCCAGGGATGGTTTTACCTGGTGACAATACTCACCAGGAAGGTGGTTGATAGCTGCTGACCTTAATATGAAAAATATTACTAATGACGTAGGTGACTACAGATCACACATATATTAATGCTTCAGTATTATTTATTGGGCAGATAATTGGCGTTTCATCTATGTTCTTATCGTACAAAAGTTTGTAACTTTGATTTTACTCACCTGGTAATAATTCAGAGTGAATGCGATATGAATGAAAAAAAAATTAAATTGAGGTATTTCACTATGGAACATTTTTTTAAGGAAATCACAGTAATTATTAAATATCTTATTCACCTGAGAATTGTGGAGGTGACGGGTGAGTCACGTGATGATGTGACGATCACCAGATGACAGTCGGTGAGATGGTGTTCCACCGCCTGACTCACCATCATGCCCACCTTACTCATCACCCGACCTAGCATAACGCCCGTGGCCATAGGTTCCCCCAACTCCTGGCTAAATGCGGGAACAGCAAAAGCCACCATCGCCAACACGGTTCCACACAGAAAATACAACATTCTGAGCTGAAACTAAAAAGTACACCATTTAATACAAAATATTATTATGAATTGCTCCATGCTTTTCTGCTTGAAAAATATTATTAACTCTTTCTCTATCTCTCTCTCTCTCTCTCTCTCTCTCTCTCTCTCTCTCTCTCTCTCTCTCTCTCTCTCTCTCTCTCTCTCTCTCTCTCTCTCTCTCTCTCTCTCTCTCTCTCTCTCTCTCTCTCTCTCTTTTTTTTTTAAACTAAGACTAGGATTCATAAGGATGCCTAGTGACATACCTAGTGAAGCTGCAAGCAGGAGCTGTTATCCTACTTCAGCTCATATGAAGCCTACACCTAGAAACTCATTTATTTCATAAGAGTATACTTTGAAACTAACACATTGGGAACTATCATATATTGAACTTATATAAGCTAAGTTGAAACTTTCTCCTAGATGCCCATTTATTTCATGAGCCTGTTATTATTTGCTTTAGAAGGAATAGCTTTTATTCATTAAAAAACATTAAGTAACAATCATATAAGGAACAGGATGAGCTAGTAGCCAGCTGTGTGCTAGAGTCTTCATGTGAACAGTTGACCTGATCTCTCGTGTATCAATCTGTTGAGCGTACAAGTTCCAGATACGAGTAAGCCTCGGAATGAATGAACGCTGATGGAGTGATGTTCTTGAGAATGGCACTTCAAGCATGAGACTGTTGAAGGTTGAGTGTTACGAGTGGGAACTACTGGTACTCCACAGATTTGGGCCAAGTGCGGAACTTTGAGGATGTTGGCCTTGTACATAACAGTAAGACCAACAACATCCCGACGGTGTTGCAGGCTCTGATGTTCAGACCGTTCCCACCAGACTTGGTCAAGACTAGAGATAAGCCTTCTAGCCCGTCTCTCTACTTTGTCCAACGGTCTGACGAAAGATGGGGGGCAGGCAATTCAGTCTATTACCAGGATCTAGGATTGCTATGACCAACATCTGAAATATCATGCTTGTTCCCCATTACAATTTTACTGTTAAGACTAGAATGTAAACTTTCATTACCAATAAAATAATAGAAACCTATACAATGTATATTCTTAAACCTCTGATTAGGTTAGGTGGGGGTGGTTAGTCTAGTCATTTTTGAATAATAACATCAAATACACATGCCAGTAGGACGCCAAAGGTCGCATTGGTTGTCTGGTGACGTCATACATAGTTGACCAGTCAGGTGCTGTAATACCTTGACACTTATATGCTGATGGCCAGCAATACCTTATCCCTATACCTGAGGTAGCTTTCCATGATGCCGCTAAACAACAACAATAACTGGACTGTAGAATGTATTTGTTTGTTATATGTAATAAGTTAGGTTAGGATGGTTTGATCGGGTTTATGAATATCAGAAAATATGAGCAATGAGCAAAAATACGAGCTATTGTAGCTGAATATCAACTTTGATGAAGCACAGAGTACAGTTGAGGTATTAAGCCTGATTAAGAGTTCACACTTATGTGTGAACCTCCTGGGATCCGCATTTAGCACGTTGAAGCCTCGCGCCGCATTAGGGATGATGACGTCAGAAAAGAAGGTAACTGCAGAAGGCCTTATTTCAAAACATGAGAGGCTTGCTTTTACTGAATGAGTATTTTTGATTTGCTATATGCTACAGTAAGGTGTGCGAGGTGTGTTTTGAGCGTGCCTCTTAGGTTTAGTTTGGTTCATTTATTATGCACCCCATACCCATCCTAGGGGTCGTGTATTTTTTGTTACCCTGCTTGTCTCCAGGTCTTAGCATTTCGCTCAAGGGGATTAAGAGGAGCCTCGTAGGTCCGTGTATTTTTCGTTACCCCGGTGACCCATTCTCAGACATCGCTAATGGTCAATGACGTCACCAGGTAGCCGCTCAATGACCCTGCACACGCATTGCTAATGGTCAATGACGTCACCCAGTCTTCATCTTTCATGGTTTCATCCATGAAATAGTACAGAAGAAGAGAGAGAGAGAGAGAAAGAACTAAGAACCACTGCTGTGGACAGGGTAGAAGGTAATACTAATAAGTTAAAGGGGATTAAGGAGATCATATCACATAAGGAGAGAGTGGGGAGTCACAGCGGCTCGAGTGGGTGTGTGCACGTGACTACGAGGCTAAGGGTTGGAGCCGCATCCCCTGAATGTGTGACGTTGAGCCCCTCTCCAAGAGTCAGAAGCGCCTAGTGTGATCTCCTAGTGATGTATAAGCACTCTACCGAGTTGTGGGTTGGGTTGTCTGCAAAGGAGGAACAACGACACAACGACAACACCAAAACACACAAACTATAATAAATTGGGGGCCTGTGTCCGGGAGAGTGAACTGACACACCCACACCCTGTCCAAGAGTGGATTTGTACACCCTTGCTGAAATAGATAAACTGTGTGACCGCAGGTGTATATTCTCTCTCTTGCGAAGACTCACCGGACAAGAGGGATAAGGTGCAAGTGTTTGTGGAGTCAGGCAAGCCTGAGAACCTAGAAGGCTGCACGAGGGATCAATTGAAACAAATAGCAGAAAAATGTGGCATTAGGTTGAGAGCATCTAAAGTAGCTGGGATGAAGGATGAGATCCTGAGGCAGTTGAGAGCCAGAAGTGAAGCGGCAGAGCAAGGAGCCCAAAAAAGGAGCTGAAAGTGGAAAGGAGGATGAAGTGAGATCCCAGGGATCGAGTAGGAGCAGCAAGAGTAGCCGCAGTAGCAGGAGTAGCCGAAATAGGAGCTTGGAGAGATTCCAGTTAGAGCTCCAGATGCAGCAACAACGATAGGACAAGGAGAGACAGTTCCAGCTGGGAAAGATGAAACTAGAACTCCAGATGAAAAATGAAGCTGAGAAGGAAAAAGAAAAGACCAGGCTAGAGGTGGAGAGAGAAAAAGAGAAAACCAGAGTAAGAGAACTGGAGTTGGAACAGGAGAAAGAAAAAGCCCAAGTCGAAAAAGAAAAAACAGAGAACAAAACAAATGTAGATAGAAGCGAATAGAACCTTGGCTGAGCAAAGGATTGAACATGGGTTGCCAGAGAGCACCACCCAGGTATCACACTCACCAGATGTTAGGGTTAGGGAGAAGGACATTCCATTGTTTGTTCCCGAAGAGGCAGAGAGCTTTTTCGAGCACTTTGAAAAGGTAGCCAGCATCAAGGAGTGGCCACAGGAGGAATGGGCCCAGCTGGTCCAGTTAAGATTGACCGGTGCAGCCAGGGAGGCATACACCCAATTGTCACTGGAAGAGTGCCAGGATTATGCCACGGTAAAGAACAGCATATTGCGCTCGTTTCAGTTAACCCCAGAAGCTTATAGGAAGCGCTTCAGAGAGATGATCAAAGTTGGAGCGTGTACCTTTGCTGAGACAGCAAGGGATCTGGAAAGACGATTCCAGAAGTGGATTGAGGCTGCTGGAGTTGGATCTTACGCTGACCTGAAGCAACTGATGGTCATGGAGAAGTTCTTGGAGATGATGCATCCCGAAACAAAGTTCAAGATCCAAGAAGCAGGGATAAAGGAGGTGAAAGATGCCACTGATAGGGCGGATATGATTACTGAAGCATAAAAGAGCTTGAGGGAGAACAGAGTGAGAAGCGTGGCGAGACGCAGCAATGGCAGATCCAGTGGAGTCTGGGGAGGAAGAAATTATGAGAGACCCAGAAGAGTCTGGGGTGAGAAGAATTTTGATAAATGGGCGGATAAACGTAAGTACCCTAAAACTCAGAAGAGTAGGTCGCGCACTTCGTCTGAAAGTGAAGAGGGAGGAGCTAAACGAGAAACTGATCGTTATCCAGGAAATCAAGAGTCCAGTAAAGCCCCACAGAGTACAGGTAGTGTACCTGGCCCAAGGAACTCTCATGCGAGTGGACAAAGTCAGAGCCTCTTTGGTACATATAGAAGAGACTTTTCCCAGATAAGATGTTACTAATGTTACAGGTTGGGTCACGTGATGCGAGATTGTCGGCAGGGCAAAAGAGTTGTGACCCTGGCCATGTGTGACCCCGGAAGTAAATATACTAATGTGTTCCAAGACAAACCACAGAAGGTGAACTTAGTGAACGATAGGTATAGGCCGTTCATGAGCAAAGGTTGGATCAGTATTGGAGGCCAACCTGAGGTAGAAGTCGGTATCTTAAGGGATACCGGAGCTAATCAGAGCTTGATCACGAGAAGCCTGATTGGGAATGATCGATGGTTAGCTGGCAGTGGGAAGATGAAAGTATATGGGTTATTGTCTGAGAGTGACATGCCCGTATGTGCTGCCCAGCTAAGGTCAGAATATGTATGATCATCATACATATGTATGATGTATGAATATGATCAGAGCTTGATCACGAGAAGCCTGATTGGGAATGATCGATGGTTAGCTGGCAGTGGGAAGATGAAAGTATATGGGTTATTGTCTGAGAGTGACATGCCCGTATGTGCTGCCCAGCTAAGGTCAGAATATGTGTCGGCAGAGGTGATGTTGGGAGTATGCCCCGACATACCTATTCTAGGAGTCCAAGTGATCCTGGGGAATGACTTGTGCGGGACAAAGGTGTTGCCAAGAGTCATGGTGGAGACTGTGCCAGAGGAGTGCCCAGGAGGCCACGGCACGAGTGGGACACCTGAGAGTGTGAACCTGACTGACATCCGAGGAGATGAGTCAGGAGACCGCCAAGCCATTGAAAACCCTGTCTCGGTAGTGATGAAGGCAGAGGTGGCCGACGAGGAAGACGCTGGAGAAGATGAGACAGTGTCGATTAAACCGGTAGAAGATATCGATGTAGATATAGCATGGCTGTTTGATGAAGGTCCAGCCTAGGAAAATGAAGTCTCGGTGAGGCCAAAAGTGAAGATGGCCCAGCCGAAAAAGAATCATGTGAAGAGAGCGGACCTGAGTAGAGCCCAGCACGCTGAAATTAAGGGTCGGAAGGTGAATGCAACTGTGCTGAGTAGGAATGAGGAAGGATATGGACAGACTGAGGACGGGAGTAGAGCGTCAA